GGGCGCGCAACTCGCTGGCTCACAGTCCATTTTCCTTTCTTCGGCTTTAGGCGGTGTCACAGTTAGTGTCACAGCGTTTTGGGCATCCCCATTCCCAAATCCCTAACGTTTTGGGCATCCCCTTCTCAAATTACTGCAGCGTTTTGGGCATCCCCCGGTACCCTCTCGGGGATGCCCAAATCCCTAGTGTTTTGGTCATCCCCTCCAAAAAAATGCTGGATTTCGCGGGAAAATCGAAAACGTTTTAGAGATGGCTTCCACTAAATATAGAAATATTTTCCAGTATCTTAAAAAGAGGGCTTATCCGGAAGGCTTTACAAAGCAAAAAAGACAAAAAAAAAAACGACTCTGCGAAATTTTGCCAAAAAGTTCGAGTATGTCTCAAAATTAGAGTCCTTGTTCTACGTGGCCAAGGAGAAGCGTCGACGAATTGTTATCACCAAGGAAGAGAAAGCGAGGGTCTTCGAAGAGTGCCACTCTACTCCTTTCTCTGGACACGCCGGCCGCGATAATACTTTTGCACCCGGCCCTGTGAAGGTTGTTCCCAAGGTGTGGTACTTGGTCGAAATCAAGAGAGGATAAAGGGGACAGAGAAGACATCCTCCATACACACCCTATTCCATAGGTAATTCGTCTCGAGTTATTTTTAAGATTAGACAACAGCCAATCACATAGCGCGAATGTGTTCTGCATGGATGACCCACGCTCAGAGCCTCGCGTCCTTCTCGAATTGAGGCAGAAAAAAATGGCGGAAGACGCGAAGAGCAATGTTGCTATTCGTTTTGCCGACGAAAACGACTAAAGAGAGATTTCTGCTAAAGCTGTGTCAGCGAAACGGAAATTAAAAAAGGATCGCCCTTCCTCTCTTGTATAGAGCTGACAGTACAGCAGGGAAATCCTTAACACAGTGAATATTCTCTCAGTATCATTTATAATTTACAATTTGAAGAGAGAAATTTCTGGTTTGATATTTATTCTTTTATTAGTCTTGTATTATTCAACAAAAATAACACTTGGCGTCCTATAATAATAATAATAATAATAATAATAATAATAATAATAATGATTTAATAACTTCTAGAGCGCTATTTACATTCACTGATCAACAGCGCTTAACAACTTAAAAAAACTACAAAAAAATTCAAATTTGTAAAACTAATTACGTGAACATGAATATTACTTGCTACTTGCTTTATTGTACAAACGACCGGTTTCAATAGACCGGCGAAATTTCTCATTTTATTAAAGCACTGAGGTTACGATAACTTCGAGTTAAACTGATTTCACGGGTTGTCAAAGAGTCGAGTGATTCCCTTTTCCCAGGTGAGCGCCGACTCATTTCGCTTCAATATTCAGAAATGCTCTAGATCTCTTTACGCTTTCATTGCCTTTCGCCCGACATGTTTTGCATGGCGTTTAGTCATGCGAAACCTCACGAAACATCCACGCTGCGCGCGAGGTAACTTTATCCCGATTCTAAAAATAACTCGAGACGAATTACCTATGGAATAGGGTGTGTATGGGGGATGCCTTCTCTGTCCCCTTTATCCTCTCTTGGTCGGAATGGATTTAATAGAAGCCCCTACTACATCTCGAAACGGCAACAGATTTCTTCCGTCCCGGCCGTAGGTGCAAGAGGCCTCTGTATAAATTGTGTGACTTACCGTCCGCATTTCAAAATACTTTATCAGACCCTATCATCTTTCCAAATGGTACCAAATTAAATTCGCTTTTATATGCTGATGATTTAATAATTATATCACGATCTAAAATAGGATTACAGAACTGTCTCAACACATTATCCTCTTTTTGCAACTCTTGGATGTTAGATATAAATTCCAAAAAGACCAAAGTTATGGTCTTTCAAAAACGAGCGAAGAAAAACTCCAATCTAGAATTCCATATAGGTAAAGAAACCATTGATATTGTCCATGAATATACATATTTACGAACCCGTATCTCCTCAACCGGTAATTTTAATATCTCACTCAAACATTTGAAAGAGAAGGCTCTTCATGCTCTTTTTAGTTTAAGAAAACACACAAACTTTAGCAAATTAAAACCTTCTCTTGCTTGCAAAATATTTGAAACGATGATTTCCCCGATATTATCATATAATAGCGAAATTTGGGGTGTATATGTAAAACATGATTTTAAAGCTTGGGACAATAACCCAATTGAAAAAACCCACTTGAAATTTTGCAAGCGTTACCTAGAAATAAGCAATAAAGCTTCAAATGTTGCAAGTAGAAGTGAATTAGGACGGTTACCATTAATTATTAATATTTATAAAAACATCCTTTATTACATATTGTATCTTCTGCGTAAAAACGAGGATACTATTGTTAAACAAGCCTTTCGTACTTCGCTAGAACTTCACTGTAATGGTAAAAATAGCTTTTACCATAATCTTATGAAAATATCTGAATATTCTGACCTCCCTGATTTTGATCCTAATAATTTAAGTGAAGCTAAGATCAAACACTATATACATATAATAAAACAAAAATATATTGCATATTGGCAACATACAATCCATCATTCTAAGAAACTACAATTTTACAGCTTATTTAAACATGATTATAAAATTTCAAGTTATCTAGACTTAATTAGAAATTCTGCTAATAGGAAAGATTTAATGAAAATTCGTATAAGTAACCACAAACTCATGATTGAAACTGGAAGATATAATCAAACTTCCCGCAACGATAGACTCTGTCCTATTTGTAACTCTGGTATAATTGAAGACGAATTTCATTTTCTCTTCCATTGTCCAAAATACTCAATCCCAAGGGAGAAATTCTACAATCAAATCCAACAAAATTTTGTCGATTTTAATCAGCTATCTTAGCTTATCTTACACAGAATTAATAATTAAATTGATGAATTCACAGAATTTTTCCGTAAATTCACATTTGTTGAAATTTGTCTCATTATGTAATGATTTACGTAATAATTTGTTATCAAATCATGCTGATGACACTTGATCGACTACAGTAATCATTGCATTATCATTGTTATGATTTGTTTGTTTGTTTGTTTGTTTTTTTTATGTTAAAGCTTTTGCAATACTGTAACTACATAATTATAATCATGCAAATAAAGCTTATGTTGTTGTTGTTGCCTTTCGTGTGTCAAGTAGCGCTGAAGTAGAGGCCTCAAATGTCATGCATACTATGAATTCAAAACCGCAAAACCCAGTTTTATTCATGTTTGTCTTTTGATTGGTTTGTTTAGTATTTTTGTTTTTGGCTGTTTGGAATCAGACGACCGCAGCTGCCGGCGATTGCGGCATTGCTCGCTTGTAAACAGTTCATTGAAGCTTTGCAAACAATGAAGCGTTGTAGAGCGAAGCGATGTTATGCGGTTGAAAATTTCAGCTTCGTCATGTTTTGAGCCAACGTTTACTGCCTATGGGTTTTTTTTCTGCGCAATAAACCCGGCGAAAAGGCGTCAGACAATATAATTCTAACATGCATCTACACTATTCAGCCGTAAATTCGTGATTGACAATCCCGACTTTTCCCCAGTCTGAAATAATTTAGGCAAAGTCGAAGCGATCAGCGTTTTGGGCATCCCCCACCGGGGATTCCCAAAACGCTAGGGATATTGGAATGGGGATGCCCAAAACGCGGGGATGCCCATATCACTGTGGCGGGTTTTGGCTATTTGGCACGAGTTTTCGCTATCCTCGCTCTCCTTTCAATATCGTTTTGTTATCTGCCTTCTTCTCTTTCATCTTCTGTTATTAAGGTAAGTTTTGTTTTGTTGTCATTAAATTTTGAGATTTGATGTTTTATTGATGCACTTATCAATTGAAACCCCAACCCCCCCTCGCCCACTCCGGGCCTATGTGGGGCAATGTGGGGGATTTTTTTTAAGGTATTTGAAGGCATGGTTAGCTCGTGGGGGTGGGGGATTTCTCAGGATTTGCTGGGGATTTCACTTGTGCCTAGTTCCCTCACGGTAATTTCTTCACGTGATCACTGGTATTTTGATATATTGCTGGGCCGTAGATGGTTTGAAGTTATCTGGCTTTGAAACGTAAGTTTCCTAATTGTTTTTTCTTTCATTTCTTTACTTAGATTAATCCTTATTTTGCTTTGAGCTTTCATGGTTCGTTGACTGGAAACTGTTATTGTTATTCAAAACTTCTCAAACAATGCAGATACACGCTCCTCTACTTATTAGATAGTATCCATAAAATAACCACTAAAAATGGTGCAAAAATGTGCAAAATTTGCCGGTACAGATACCTTAAGCAACAGCGTTTTTGAGCGACGGACTTCAACCGGAAGTGGACTTTTTGCATCATTGGCGAGCGGTTTGGTTGAAACTCTCTGGTAAATCGTCTTTAAAAGAGAAAAGAAACTCAGCAATACAAGTTTGTTAGCGCCAAGGCATATAAAAAGGGAGAAGGCCTCACTTCCGGTTGACGTGCGTCGCTCAAAAACGTCTTTGCTTAATATAAAAGGTGCTGTATACGATGGTGTACGCCCCCATGGGGTTCCCATGGGGGCGGGTACCCGGGTAGGAGAGAACCCTGGGAACGAGGTTGAGATAAGACATGCTGCTGGTACAGTTCGCGTCTTATTAAAGACGCGTCTTATTTTTCCCCGGGATTTTTCCTCGTATACCGATGGCCCTACTATGTCATCGGGTCGAGTAATAGAGTGAAAGAGGAACCCCAAATGTAATCCGATCGAAAGCGGACGCTAATCCGAGGCTGCCCGGGATCTAAGCGATTGTGTTTCCGGAAGCCGAGGTATGATCATCAATCGGTCGGTAGCCTGTGAACAGGCTATCTGTTTGGGGAAAAATAGCAAGCTTTTTCCTCTCCCTAGTTCCACGCTCGACCAAAGGCCTGTTCACAGGCTAATCGGTCGGTTACTGTCGTTTAGGAGACGGATTACGACCTCGTTACGAGATGGTTCGACGATACTTTGGCAGCCACGTGTGCTGGACGGCGTTATATCGATTGCGACGTCTTTGCCGCCATGTGCTTTTTGAGATTTGGTAAATTTTATGCCTGTTGAATCGAAGGTGAGTCGAATTGTATTTTCTACGATGTTTCGTCCTATTTCGCATTAATAACCGAGCACAGCTTTCTATGCATTTGTAAAGTATTTATTTCTAAAGAGTTTGTCAGGTTTTCTTACGGTTTGGGGCGATTTTTATGCCAGCAAAAGAATCATTCAGCCGAAGGATTTTGATGCCAATGTCCATGTGCATTCAGTTTCCTCTGCAGTTCAATGCGTTCAATGTCCGTTTGGTCGTCGCTGGATAATGTGTAACCCTTTTCAAGGGTCAAATTCCCTTCGGGGAGCTAAAAATCTCTTTCGAGAGATCGAAAATTCCCTTCGGGGAGCAAATAATCTCTTTCGGGAAAGCGAAAATTCCTTTCGGGGATAGATTTATAATCGCTTTTGTGAGGCAAATAAATTCAGTATTGTTCCTAGCACTCATTTTTTTCGGGAGACAATGGACTATCTCGTTTTGGAAACTATGAATGAGGCCATAACAAGTCCTGTATTTGTTGAACAAAGACATCTAATTGAGCATGTCGAGTGTTGTTTGTTAAAGCTGTGTGTGGTTGGATGCCTAGTGATATTAGAAGGTGTTATTTAAATAACGCTGTGGCTACATGGCCGGTAACCCGTCAAGGTTTTCAAAACACTAAATGGCCGGCAGTCCTTTATTCTCAGTAAATTTCACAAAATCGAAAGGTTCAAGCTAATCTAAACTATCATATGTCGATTTAGAAAAGTCAAGCGATCCTGAAATGTTTATAGATCTGTTTGGTTTACGCTGGGGTCAGAGGAGGAAACCATGTTTTGTGACACTTGGAACTTTTTTCAGCTCGACTGCCGGTCAAGGTTTTCTAAACACTAAATGCCCGGCAGACCTATATTCTCAGTAAATTTCACAAAATCGAAAGATTCCAGCTATCTAAACTATAATATGAAAGGTTAGGTCTCCTCGAACTACTGGCTAGACTTAAAGCTGTTTCATATCGATTGTAGAAAAGACGGCGAAAAGTCGAAGATGGAAAGATTTAAGAACTGTTTTCATACTTACTCAATAATTTAATCTTCAGTTTTTCTCAGTAAAAAAGGAAAGGGATTGAGAGTTGATGACCTCGTTGTCAAGTGAATGAAAAAACTTAGGCCTTTGATTGCTTGATTGCTTGATTGATATTGCTGTCAATCCACGACTCTTTCATCGAGACACATTTTCGGAGATTTTCCGAGAAATGCTCAACATTCTGTTCGAATGGTCATTATTTTCTGATGTTAGCTTTACTGAAAATCAGCCTAGAAAGACCTTACTCTTTTAAGCTCTTACGCAGATATACATGTATTTATGAATTATGGACACGATCATGTAATTTCAAAAGTGAATCAAACAATTAATTAATTATTTACTTTTTAAGAGAATAGGTAATGCCATGTATGTATAACTTTATAACTTTATAACTTTATTTGATTTACCACAAAATACAAATAACGATAAAACAAGACAGTTACACAAAAGCAAATGAAATTGGCAAGGAAGCCCAATAAGAAACCATGAGGCTTATAGAAATTGGGCTCCCTCAGAGTAAAACTAAAGTTAACAGTAACAGTAAGGCTAGGATCGAAAGTAAAATACAATGAAGGCAAGTATAAATTAACTAATTACATAGACTGAGTTGACAAAATATAAGGTATGGTACATGTAACAGTGTAAATGGGAATACCTTAACAAGGCTGTGCTCTAAGGAAAATTGAAGGAAGCCCAGTGCTCTGAAACTGTAAAATCTAGGGTGCCCAGCATATGATTTGAATGAATGAATGAATGAATGAATGAGATTTTCTAGTCGCCCGAGGGCAAAAGTTAGGCGCCAGGAGCCACCGGGCTCTGCTAGAGCACAGCCCTGCCTTAATAAATTGTTGTTGTTGTTGTATTTGTATAAAAAAAGACAGATAAAAACTTGGCCTGACTGGGTGTGAGGATAGTAACTTCTGTGAGTTGCGGAAAAGAGATGTCAGGACACTTCTATACTTATGGCTGTTTTTTTTTTTCGATTTAGTGAAATTTACTGAGAATATAGACTGCCGGCCATTTAGTGTTTTGAAAACCTTGACCGGCAGTCAAGCTGAAAAAAGTTTTTTAAGTGTCACAAAACATGGTTTCCTCCTCTGAGCCCAGCGTAAACCAAGCACTAGACTGTAAAGCATTTCAGGATCGCTTGACTTTTCTAAATCAACATATCAAGGCTGTGTTCTAAGGAAAATTTCAGGGAGCCCTTCGGGCTTCCAAGCATTATATTTAAGTTGCCCAGACCTCAAAGTTGGTCGCCCGAATAAAAATTTCGGGGAGCCCTTCGGGCTCCCGAGCATTCCAGCTGGGGTGCCCAGGCCTCTCAAGGTGGTCACCCGAGTACATCTGATGAGGAAGTATTTTGAACAAACGCAAATCTTACTCGTCTGCTGATCACCAAACTCGGTAATTTTAGCTTTTGGGTTCGACAAAAACCCACTTGTTTTCTTATGAACCCCATCAAAGTTTTCGTGCCATTCAGATTTAAAACCAGAAACGTGAGCAATGCCGCCGAATTGTTTAGGTTTTAACCCATTCGCCCCTGAACCGCCCGTAACCGCCCGTGCGGATCCAGGTCCTTTCTACCCTTTGTGACGTCATCAGTTGTAACGGTCAAGGACAACTTTCTTCGCACACGTGTGCAGAGTGAAGAGATCTTTCAAACCATACCAGAATGAGCACAATTCAGTCAAGGGCACCGGAGAAAGAAGCAAAAAACCACGTGACAAGGACCTGAAAATCTCCATGAAAATCTTGTTCCATTACCCACCTACCTTTCCTTTCACCTAATCCTAAGATCCTAAAAGCTTTCCTAAAAACTCTTCCCACCAAAATGAAGCCTACTAAATGCCCAGCAAGAGAAAAAAAAAAAAAATGAGGCAAGAAAAGCGAAAAAGAAGGGGGAGAGAAAGCGAAAAGTAAAAAGTCAAGACTGCTGTGTCACTTTTAAACCCAAAAACTATGTCGAAATTTTGCTTTTGCGCATGCCCGAACTTCGCAAGCTGATATTTTGCATCTGGATCAGAAGGCCGCCAAGTGTACGACCTGTAAACCGGTTTGTGGTAAGTTTTAGCTCTTTATAGCACGACAGTGACCAGAAAACCACTCGACTAGCTTCAAAACGCGTTTTTCGGCAAAATCTCCAGGAGCGAATGGGTTAAAGAGAGAAAAGTAAAAAATTTCAGCAGGTTTACGTAAACTTCATTAAGATCTTTGGGTCCAACATAGAAAAACTGTGCTTTTTACCAGTAATACTAAACTTGAAAATAAATTTTCAAAAGGTGAATCAATGCGGAATGAAATATAATGTGACGGAGTTTTATACGCGGTTGATCGAACTCAAGTTCCCGTGAAAAATACCGTGAAACAGTGAAACCGCCACGGCCCCAAACCTATTGTTTTAATAAAAAATAAGTCATATTTAATTTTCTTTTCTATATTATCACTGAATCTTTTAGGATAATTGAGCTTTTCGTGGATACGGTCGAAGCGTAAACCAGCTCTTCTTTCTGTGTTTTTATTTCATTTTTTTGGCCGCTAAATTTATCCTGCAAGCGAATTTAGTTTTTGATATGTAAAATGCCAGGACAACGTGGAACTACCCTGTTTCTAAAACAGCAATAAAAACGATCAGAACGATCATATCTTTTCTTTTTGTATTTCGTTATCTTATGTAAAGGGAAGAAAACAATCATAAGTTATGTTTTAGCCAAGCAGACTGAGAGCAGCCAAAACCATAAAAACATTATATTTGCATACTGGTCAATACAGCAACTTCCATTTTCTACAAAAATAAATTACTCCGCGTCGCCTGCCGCGCTTTACGTCTGTCAGAAAAGTATTAACAGTTTCTCCTAAAAACTGTAGCTAATGAACCATTCTATCTGAAAGAAAAAATTTTAAAACTATTTTAAGCAGTGGTACAAATCAAAGTCCTCGCCGCTTGTCACGTTTAAAGTGATGGATTATGTTACGTGTGAAATCATGCAGAACGACAGCGACGTGCGCCCGTTTCTCTCGTACAATATTCGTAAAAACATTTTCTGTAGGGTTTAGCTAAACTCTGACTCAACAAGCCAACACCACTATGTTAAATTTTTCTTCCTGCTTAACTGAACACTGCATCAGAAGCAAGAGTGCCCGGCCGGGTGACCGGGAACTTTTTTTCAGTTGCCCGAAGCTAAATGTTAGTCGCCTCAGGCGACCGGGCGCCGTTAGAGCACAGCCTTGCAACATATGATAGTTTAGATCAGCTGGAACCTTTCGATTTTGTGAAATTTGCTGAGAATAAAGGATTGCCGGCCATTTAGTGTTTTGAAAACCTTGACTGGTTACCTGCCATATAGCCACAGCGTTTAAATAATGCATTTGAGAATACTGAATATGATTCGCATAATATGAGTGATTGTGATGTTAATGATAGTATATTCTTGTCTGAGAATCAAAGATTTAACTGCCCGATATCTTGGTATGTAGAGAGTCATAGACATTCTCGACTATGTTCATGGGTAAAAACTCCAAGGGTATGAGGTAGGGAGCCATCCAGAATATCGTTACGAAAACGTATTCATTCACTAAAGTGTAGAAAACTAAGACAACAGCACAAGAATTTTCTCAGAAACTAGGTTCACACAACTTGACAATGGGGTGGGGAGGGGGGGTCGGAGCTTCAATATTGATGAGTGCATTATGAATGTAGTCGCAAACGATTGAAAATTTATGCATATCATTTACATGCTATTACAGATTCATGGCAAATCGACGTCTGCAAAGCCTCCTGGAGGCCAAGAAGCAGGGATTAACACTACGTTATGACCCGCCTGCTTCCAGGAATCGATGTTTTTACAGTTGTCTGTCAAAATTTGTCAATGTAAACGAGGAAGACATCGTCCAAATGGTCCAAACTTATTTGGTGTGCAATCAAATCGTAACATCTGCCAATGAGGTGAGATTTTTATCTTAAAACTCTCGGAGATTTGAGCAAGCCATTGAGTAACTTTTTTTGACTGCTGAGAAGTCTTTGAAATGTAACTCGATATGATAATTAAAAAAAAATGGGAGTGAAGAAAGGTGAAGTCGGTGAAGGGTACTTTATGCTGAAGGCTGATCCATGTGGAAGAAAACAAACAGATGGAAAAGGAGGTAGTGAAAACTTTTTGCTGGAGGTATATGTAAAGGAGCTGTGTCACAAAATTTCCCAAAATTCAGACAGTGGAAACTACCAGAAAATTCAGTGAAACACAAAAATAAAGAAAGAAGGAAAGCATGGATCAACAAACTTGAAGAAGATTAAAATGGATCACAATAATATTGTCCTTTTTGGCAACATCAACAAAATGAACTTGGCATCTGTGACATGGCCTCGTTAAGGTTAATTAAATTTCCAAAGCTGTACAGCATACTTAATCATAGAAGAATGAGTGTGGAGTGAAAAATTAAGAAAGGAAATGAACTGAAACAGTTTATCAGTCATATCTTTTATTGCCATACCGTTAATATGATATCCATATGCTTTATTGTTTTTTATGCAGGATGGAACATCAGAAACCCAGGACCTGATGCAATTTCTTTCTGATACTGATTATCCGTCCCTGGTAAATCGGCCAAGCACATGGACAGATTGTGTCTTGGCCTTGAAGGATGAAATGGCGACTCATGTCGTCATCAGAGCAGCAGCAACACTGCTTTTGCTTAATATCAATATCATAGACTGGAATGGTGTAAGTTATCTGGCATATTTACTACTCAAGTCAATGCTTAAGACATTGAATAATCATGCGCATGTTAGTATGTATGTTGTATGTGTTTTTTACTCTTAACCCTGTCACTCTCTTTTTTTGTAAAATCATAAGACACAAATGTGATTGACTAGCATCTCATCGGGGTGGGGTGGGGGAGGGGTTAGGAATACCATTCATGCTACAGAAACCGGTTTAATCTTTGGCAGTAGTGATCCATTCGGCTTATGAAGACTGGCCTTAGCTGCCTATGAAACAAAATTAAAAGTACTATTCAAAAGTTCTGCCAAAGAGGTTTTATTTGAATGGTAACACCACTGGATTTGCTCAACGAGTGAAAGGATTATTTTGTCATTTTAAATAGATGGGTGTTTTTTCTTATATAGTAGGTCCACATAAAGCCATTTGGCTGCCATTAGGTACCTATAGTAGTAAATTATTAGAAAAATAAGTAAAGAGGATATTGGTAGACATACATGTAGAATTAATGATGATTTGCAGATAATCACTACAAAGTCCTTCATTTTGCATTGTAGAGAATCAATATTGTAAAACCCTTCAGTGGCTCTGCAGGGAGTTCTGTTTGTCTGGCATATACGGGCAACCATTATATGCTGCTTACCAGCAAAGCCAGCAACCCAGTCATGAAAGACATGCAAAGTGGTGAAGGTAAGATTATGTGAATAGATAAGGATAGTTCGATAAATGAATGAATGAATGAATGAATGAATGCATCCATTAATAATGTTAATATCATTAATCAATTAATTAGTCAGTGAGTTGGCGAGTGAGTCAGTTTGCAAGCATTTGGTAAAAGAATGAATACATTAATAGAATGAAATAGCAAGAGATTGAATGAATGTGAAATGATAATATTACAGTGCGACTAATGTAACCGAGGCCACCAGAGTTCCCACGAGTGTAACATGACTTACCCCCATACTGCAGGCCGTGGACCACGCCTAATTTTTGAAGATGAATTTTACCAGCTAGAGGTCTAAATGAATTCTAGGAACCCTAACTGGATGAAACAGTAACTGCTGTCAGTTTTACATAATCAGGGTTATAGTCTCCTTATATTATACACCAGTTGAAATTTTCTTGAATTCCATACATGGGTTCGGTCCTGAGTCTGGTGAAGGAGTAGCAATAGGAGGAATAGCCTGTTCAAGGCTCTCAGATAATGGGGAAGACGGGAAAGTGAAAGGTATACAAAAAGTTGGCGTGGTGGGAAAAAGGAAAAAGGAAGGATTTCCTCCCTTTTTTTATGTTCGTGCTTTCTCAATTTAGCGGACCCGACTATGTCGGAGCCTGGAACAGGCTATAAGAGGAAGTAGTCTCTTACGCAGAAGTGTTTTTGTGTCATTGCGTTGCATAACCTCCCCAGACTTCCCTTCCCTTGATAGCCCATAGAAACGTTTTCATCGGCAAACTTATTGAATCCTGCTTATGGATCATGCACAAAATGACCTGCATATGACTGTTATGTCCGCGAAAATTGTCAGACGTCTGATAACCAACCACATTGATCCATAAGCAGGATTCAATACGTTTGCTGACGAATAATCGTTGGGCTATCAAGGGAAGGGAAGTCTTGGAGTCTACTCAATCATCATGCGCTACCTCTTCCTCTCTAGTCTCTGCAAATCCATTACACTGGAATGGAATTCATGAAAAAATTGAACAAGTGAATAATAAGAGAAGTCCTGATAATAAAAGGATAATAATAATAGCCCTAATATGAGAAGTCCTGATAATAGTTATATCTACAGTTAAAACTCCATTAAGCAGCCACCCTCGGGGTACCAGCAAGTGGCCGCTTAATGAATGTTGGCCACTTGATAGTACCCTGGGTGCCAGAGGTTTTTTTTTCTGTTGTTTGCGGCGAAAATTGAGCGCCGATGTAAAAGTTTTATTAAATTGACCCCAGGACAAAGTACTCTCTTTTTCTTTCCGTTTGTTTCTTTGAAGGGTGCATTTTTAACCTTTCAATGCAAAATTATAGCAATTTTGTTAAGAGTGGATAGCCATTTTTTTTCATTTTCCTCCACTGACTACCATCTAAAAAACCCCGAACCATATGCTCAGTAGACATACTCTGATTGGTTAATCATCCCTAAAGCCTTTTGAGACAGTAAGGGACAAAAAAAATTATCTAGGGGAGGAGGGGAAGAGTTTGTGTTTGGGTGCAAAAATCATGGCTGGTTTTGGCTGGTTGGGCATTGATGAGTTAAAAATTATAAAAATAAGAAGCAGAAAGGTGAAAGGTCTCATTGACCAGTTCCAACTAAAAGCCATGATATTACACTTACGATATATGTTACTTGTAAAATGGCATGACCGTATTGTCTATTTAAAACAATCATGGAAGTGATTGTTTTTGGTTTCTTCAGACTCCAGAAAACCAGAAGGTGACACAAGTGAGGACGTTACAGGGAAAATGAAGGTATTGCGCAAATACCGAAACCTTTTCGCCTGCAAAATGATCATTTGAAGCCCATCCCTTTGTTGTTGTTTTTTCGATGAAACCAGAATAGTGACCCCCCTTTTTTTTTTATTTTTTGACATGGTATGGCAGCACAAAAATATATATATTAAGGAGAAAAAAATCTGGATAGTAGAAGTTGTATGTTTTTAGATATGAATGATGCAAATTTAGGCATTTAGAGCCACAGAGAAATTTGATATAATGCGAAAACTGTCCATTTCTCTTCGTTTTTGAAGATCAGGTAGATTGAGGTTACTCAACTGAAAAATATAGACCAGAAAAACAAATGGGCTTAAGGTTTTTGTAAGATTCATAGTTGTTGCTACAAAATACATTGGGTTTGGGATTGGGTTGACATGAGAACGGTTTCATCTCACTGTGCCATTCTCTGTCTCGAGTAAGTAGCATCTAGGTGTTTCTGCTGCTCCAGCTATTGTACCGGTGGTTCCCATTTCTTTGATGTGTATGGGAGTACCAGACTGGACTGATCTCAAGGTAATAGCATTGTGCCGTTGATTGAAGTTCAGCCTTTGAGTTTCCTTGCTTCCTGCTTCCCTTTCACGTAGCTTGTCCATATCTGGCCAACTTGGATTGAGAACAGTGTGGAATGTTGGGATGGTGTTTCTCAGTTTCCTTCCCATGAGTAGTTCAGATGGTGAATATCCACAAGCAAGCGGGGTAGACCTGTACGCCAACAGTCCTTTGGATGGATTTTTTTCTTTCTTCAGCAGTGACGTGGTGGTTTTTACTGTGCGCTCTGCCTCACCATTAGACTGTGGGAAACGGGGGCTACTTGTTGTATGCTTGAAACCCCATTCTTTTGCGAAATGAGTGAATTCGGCTGATGCATACTGTGGGCCATTGTCACTTCTTACTTCTTCAGGGATTCCATGCCTTGCAAAAATTGCTTTGAGGGCTCTGATAACTTCATGCGATTTGGTGGTCTTGTGCAATGCAGCCACCTCCATATAGCGTGAGAAATAGTCTACTACTATCAGATAGTTCAGGTTATCAAGCTCAAATAGGTCAGTGCCGATCATCTGCCAGGCACGTTCAGAAAAGGGTGTTGGCATGAATGGCTCAGCTCACTGCTGTTGGTGCTTGGCACAAACTTTGCAATTTTCAACCATGCCTTGAACTTCAAGGCTGAGACCAGGCCACCAAACAGAGGTCTTTGCACATTCTCTGCACTTGACTATTCCCTGGTGCCCTTCATGTATCTTATCCAAAACTTGCAGCTTCATGGCTGATGGCACGACAACTCTAGTTGACTTCAGGAGTATCCCATGTATTGTAGTGAGCTCTCCTCTGGCTGACCAATAAAGCTTCAGTGCATCATTAAGAGGAAATTTGTCTGGCCAGCCTTCCAGGCAGTAACTCTTTATTTGTTGACAGACAGGGTCCTCATCCTGGGCTTCCTTAATCTCCATTAGTTTCAAGTCTGAGACTGGTAAAGAGTCTAGGACACTGTCACTAAAGATGTTCATTTCTTCTTCAGGAACAGTGGCCATTCTGTTTTTGTTTTCTGACTGCATTCTTGACAATGCATCTGCTATATGCATTTCTTTTCCAGGTACTTGGTTCACCACTTTAACATGAAAACGAATGTGAGGGGCCTTCTGAACCGGTGAACTCTAGGAGGGACTTCATCCACGGTACGGGAGGTGAGAAGAGGAGCCAGTGGCTTATGATCTGTTTCAGCAACTATAGACTTTCCCACTATGTAGTCGCTGAATCGCTCACATGCCCAAGTTAGGGCTGAGGCCTCTTTCTTTATTTACGCATATCTGCATTCCACAGGGGTGAGTGCTCTGGATATGAACATCACAGGTCTCCCAGTCTGATCTTCTTGCTTCTGTAGCAGTACTCCTCCCAGTCTAAATGAAGATGCATCCGCTGAAACTTTGGTGTATTTGTTAGGATCATAGAGAGCAAGTACTGGTGCAGCTTTCAAGATAGACTTGATTTCTTCGAGTGCTTGTTGTTGGGGTGTTCCCCAGACCCACTGGCTATCCTTCTGCATAAGGTCTCGGATTGGTTTGGTCTTGTCTGCTAAATGTTCTGCAAACTTGCTTAGGTGGTTAACCATTCCTAAAAACACACAGACTTCGTGAACATTCTTGGGTGCAGGTAGGTTTACTACGGCTGCAACTTTGTCTGGATCCACCTCAATACCATTTGCGCTAACAACATTGCCTAGGAACTTGATCTTGGGAACTCCAAAACGTGCACTTGTCGATGTTAAGTGTAACACCAGCCCCACTTAGACGCTCTAACACTTTCTATAATCTTTAATCATGTAGTTCTATGGTGGGGGCATGAACTAGGACATCATCAATGTTGCATTCAACTCCTTCAAGTCCTTCAAGAATTCTACTCATGCACTTTTGAAATTTTTCAGAACCAGAGCTCATTCCATAAGGCAGCACGTTAAAACAGTACCGTCCCCAGGGTGTGATGAAGGTTGTGAGTGGTCTCGAGCTTTCGGCCAGCTTTATTTGCCAGAATCCGGAATTTGCATCAAGGTTGGTGAAGTACTTTGCACCTGCTAGCTTTCCCAAGGTGAGGTCACGGAGGGAAGAGGGTGATTCTCACGCTGAACATACTCATTGAGCTTTATTAAGTCTACACACACTCTGACTTAACCATTTGGTTTAGGGGTTACTACCATTGGAGCACACCATTCAGTTGGGTGGTCCACAGGCGAAATCACTCCACTCTTTAACATCCTTTCAATTTCGTGCTTGGTTTCTTCATACAGTGGCATAGGGACCTTTCTTGGCACAGTCAGTGCAAAGGGTTTTGCATCATCTTTAAGCTTGATCAGTCCGAAATATCCCTAAATTTAAGGACAGGGCCAACTGGTCACGCGACACTTTTCAACCAATGAGAAGGCGCGCTTGTGTTTATCAACAAACAAATTAATCAAAACACGTCCTCGGATGATCAAAACATCACCCCAGTGATCAAAAATTTTCAAAACAATGGACGGAGTCGGACAGAATCAATCATCTTTTCGAGGCTCTCAGGCATATTTTTAAGACTTTTCATGAGGCATACACATTTTTTTTAAGTGGAAAGCGTATCGGAAGCCTTATTGGAAGTGTTTCCTAAAATATTCAGCACATTTTGTGGCTTGTTTCTTCTTTTATCTTTTAAACAACGCGATGTATAGGCGAGATTTTGATTGGTTTTCAAGGTAGGTGAACAAGTATCTATCATTTTTTCGATTCACAGATTTTTTACGAAGTTCTAGATATTTTTCCTCGATTGTCGTATCGATTAACTTTTATAATGTTGAATGTGGGGATGGTAGACAACCTAGAATTTTGGTAGACAACTTTTGAATTCCGAGGTCCAAAACACAGACTTTTTCCACTCCCGGGTTTCTCACAGAGCCGTGTTATTACTTTTTTTCGCATTAGTACGAGCTTTTGACTTTTTTCTTTTCAAGGCCAAAACAACTTTGTGAGTCTTATGGATATTCACATCCAACATCTCGCCTCACTTTGCCGAATTCGCGGGGATGAATTGAAGATCATAAGCGCAAGGTAGATACTAACCGCTTTGTTTCTGAAATTCACTAATCTGGAAAGATTTTGTTGTTGGATTCTCCAAATGTTCATCCACCATTAAAAAAGAATCAAAGAAACAAGACAAATCTCAATTTTAATTGATGTATTTCGCTACTCATTGAACATGCACTGTACTACAGCAAGCAAAGAAAGCACCAGATGCGAGAAGTCAACACGAAACAACACAAAAAAACAAACAAGAAAAATTAATAAATTTGAACTACTTTCTATTCTTGTTATATGATGACTAGTTCTTTGATTCTTGTCCCGTAGAAGTTAATCAGGTAGTGCCAATCCTGTTTTGTACGATCTCAACAAATTTTCACACTCTCTCTAAGGTTATATTTACACGGGACCAGTTTGCTGCTTCTATCAAAAATCTTGCAAGCCATGCCAGTGAAGCCATGACCTCTGCGATCGGTCCAGAATCAGCTCTAACACCCCAATGATTCCTTGCAATGATTAATGCTCTTATTCTCTTACATGAAATGTTTTCTTTGAAATATTAAATGTGAAACCTAGACAAGTACTGTAAGCTCATCTTTAATTCTGTCCGACTCCGTCCGTTGTTTTGAAAATTTTTGATCACTGGGGCGATGTTTTGATTTGTTTGTTGATAAACACAAGCGCGCCTTCTCATTGGTTGAAAAGTGTCGCATGACCAGTTGGCCCTGTCCTTAAATTTAGGGATATTCCGGACTGTTGATGGTGTACTCATCTTTCCTGGTACCCAGTCCCTCAAACAACTGTGGGTAGTCACGCATCACTTTTGGCTTGTAGTCATCAGTTGTCAGTTCATACAATCTTGATAGAAGGTTTAGTTTCACTGCAGCAGATCTACTCAGGAGTGGTCGTGCTAAGCTTTCTACGACATATACCGTTTCCTTTGTTGAAGTTTGGTTGTAAGTGAGAGTGACAGTGAATTCTCCGTTACAGTTCATCCTCTAACAGCCTGCGTAGCAGGCGCTTGGAAGTAGCTCTTTCGCCCGCTAAAACGAAGCGCCTGCTTCGCAGGCTAATCCTCTAATTGCGTGAACCCAGGAGCACTTTAGCAGTAGGCTTAAGGTGTATCTTCAGATCAATGTTAAGGAAGGTATTGTATGGGACGACAGTTACATCTGCACCACTATCAAGCTTGAAGTTAACTGGTTTCCTTCTCCACAAGAACAGTTGTAGTCCATGGTGACTTTGTAGAGTTGCTTTGGACTTCACTAATGTCGACGATTTCTCCTAGAAAGAAAGATTCTTCCTCTTCAGCAACTTCAAAATTAATACTTTTCCTGGTTTTGAACTTTTACAAGCCTGCACCCACCTGAACACTTGTTACATTTGGAGAGGCGTGCAGGACACGTTTTCTTCGGGTGCGATTTTCCAAGGCACCTTTGGCACTTTTGATCAGGATTTTTCTCTTTGGAGCTATCGGAAGGTTTCTCTTTAGACTTGTCTTGCGACTTCTCTTTGAAGTTTCCTTTGTTTCTCCGTGATTTTCCTTTCGCGATGCCATCAATGTGCACTGGAGTAGACTTGAAGCGGCCGTCAAGAATGTTTTGTTGTTGTTTCACCGTCTCTCTTTGTCTCGCTAAATTTGTAGCTTTTTCCAGGGTGAGGTTCGGATCTAGTTGAAGTTTGTCCGAAAGTTTGCGGTTTTGTAATCCCATGACAATACGGTCGCGAATGAGCTCTTCTTTTAGTGCGCCAAAATTGCAGTACCTTGCCAGGCCATACAAATCTGTGATAAAACTATCCACCGATTCTCCCGCTCATTGACTTCTTGAGTTGAATTTTGCTCACTCAAAGATGATATTTCTTTTCACGATGAAGTAATTTTCGAATTTTTCCTCCACTTCTTCATAACTCTTCTCTTATTCGGCGGTGAATTCGAATGAGATGAAGATATCGTCCGCTTGTTCACCCATTGTGTAAATTAATGTGTTTACTTGATTTTCACCAGTTTGTTTATCAAGCCCAGTAGCCTTGTGAACTCTCTCAAACCTTTGAATCCACTTTGGCCAGTCTTCCGGCTTGAATGAAAATTTCTCTGGTGGGGTTACTTGAAAATTAGCGACCAGTCAAATGTTTGGCAGGACAACTTGTGGATGTGCAATCACTGGTTGTTCTTTTGGCGCCCGCCGGGAGGATTTCCTTGTTGTTCGGCTTTGTTATCTGACATGTTCTCACCGTTTTGCACGTTGAATGAATTGTTGAGCGTTTGTACAAATTTTCTTCTTTTTCACCATGATGTGTTAAATGAAATTCATCCCTCTTCTGACACCATGTCGAATTATTCAAGAGACAACAGCATTTGTTCCATGTTCATAAGACTGCCATGTTTATTCCTCTCCTCTATTCCTGTAGTGTGCATGCCTAAATACTGAACAACACAAGCGCGTGACATATGAAAGGTCAAAGTTCAATAACACAACAATAACAGTAACAATCCCAGGAGCTCTGGTGTGGCACACTCTATTAACTGCTGTGTACTCTTTCACTGTAAATCTTCATTTACTCATTTTTTACTACGAACTGAGAAACTGATATTATACACTTAATGTCAGATCCCGAGGGAAACAGTTAGTTTTGATTTCCCAACAGTCCTGATGTTTCCCGAGACGAAGTCGAGGGAAACATCAGGACTCGAGGGAAAACAAAACTAACTGGTTTCCCGAGGGACCTGACATTAAGTGTTTTGTTATATTTCTAGACTTTCACTTCAACAGCAACAAAAGAATAACCGGAGCGAACCAAAACAGTCGACTCGGTACTTATAACAACACAAATTTAATTCTCAAAACCACTGAATGAATGATTTACAAACAAAAGTACTTTCCTCATATTATCTGCATCTTTTTCCTCCACTAGCTGCTGTTTTTCTTCTGGGAACTTCTGGGATAACTTTAAAAATCGTTGCTTTTTAGCTTGAGGTTTCGTTTTTGTGTTGTTGTGTTCATTCACGAAAAAGAAAACTGGCAGGACCTGGCGGTGTTTTTCCCGCCTTCTGTCACACCACTTTCCACCATGCTTTGATCACGTGCTGCAATGTATCCCGAGCGGGATACATTGTTTAATGTATCACGATCGGGATTGATCGGGATACATTTGATTTTAGTCAAGGCCACGTGACCAAGAATCAACCAATGGCAGTCCCTGTTTAGTTGAGTGAAAGTCTAGGAATATAACAATATGGCATGTAAAGGCTTAGACAAATGAACTGTCATTATTTACAAACTGAGTCATACAGAATTTTGCATGTGGTCTTCCAAAATCTTGTCTTTCCTGGCTTATGGAAACAACAACAACAACAAACACCATTGCATAGTGATTACCTTTCTATAAAAACTGTAATCACAGTAAATGCAATATTGTACTAACTGTTTTAGATTCTTTACACTCCCTTTCTAGAGTTGCCACTCCCCACAGAGTGAGGAAATAATATTCATCTTGTTTGTTTTCTTTTGCTTTGTTTGTACATAATATAGTTGACCATAATAATATTATTTAGTTTAAAGTAATGGATGGATTTTTTAGCAGGTCAAACAAGCCCAAGAGTATGATGACTTCCCCACAGTACAGTATCAGGAATTAATGGAGCTGATATCAAGCAACATTGTTCCTACTGAGCAGAAGTTAGACATAGGCAGCTTTGGAGAAGTAGCAGTAGGAAAAGTGGAATTTGCCATAAAAAAACCTCGAAGTGGCAAAAATTTAAAACATGAAAATGAAGTGTTATCCTCATTGTCTCATCGTAACATTGTAAAATATGTAGCTTATGATCCTGGTCCACCTGAAAGATTGATCACTGAGAAAATGCAGGGAAATCTGCGTCAGTATGTAGAAAGTAAAGAAAAAAATCTAGGAATTGAGATGATACTGAACGTGGCATCAGATGTTGCTCATGGTCTAGAGTATTTACATGGCCAAGGTTACCTTCATGATGATTTAAAGGCTCCAAACATCCTTATTAGTCTTGGCCCAGACATTGCCAAAATTGGCAACTTTGACTCGGCAAAAACACTATCGCCAGATAACCCAAAAGTAAGATACTTTCTTCACTACGAAGGTCAAAGGTATAAGGTGGCAAATGGTTTCCCTGAGACATTCAAGGTAAGCTGAGTCCATCCCTGCTTCAGTTTTAAACAGTAGTTTTGTTACGCGCTTGCTTGAATTGTTACTTTGCGGTCATGCATTTTTTCTTCCTTTTTAGAAGAGAATTGAAAAAAGAATGCTTGATACATTTCTCCCACAGAATGCTATCCACCCTACCCTATTCGTACTTGTGTGATTGACGCGTGCCCAGCAAAACATCTTAACGTCAAAATTGTGTTTACATACTCTCATGCAAAAACACCTCTCGGCCAATCAGAGGGTGCATACTATCGTAGTTATTTTAACAGATATTAAGACTGAATCCACCAGGAAATTGCGTAATTTTAATTTCAAGTGGACAAAAACCTTGTACCAGAATAATTTAAACAATATAGCATTCTTTTTACATTTTTCAAGGGTGATAGATATAATTAGTTATCTGTAATAACGCCAAAGACTACTTCTCATGGGAAGCCGAGAAAATAAATGTCAAATTTCACAAGAATTGGGAAAACACAGGTAAAATTCAGAAAATATCATGTGTAAGGTGTCATTTTGTGAAATTTGACATTTATTTTCTCAGGCTCTCATAAGAAATTTTCTTTGGTGTTATTACAGATAACTAATTACATCTGTGGTCCTTGAAAAATGTAAAAAAGAACAGTGCGATATTGTTTAAACTATTCTGGTACAAGGGTTTTGTCCACTGAAAATTCAAATTATTCAATTTCCTGATGGATTCTGTCTAAATGGTATCAAAGCAATCCCCAACCCTTTAGAAGCTGTGGCTTTATAGTGTAAGAGCGCCTATAAGGATGCAGTTATATTAATATTACCCATCAGCTCTGTTTTACAGTTTCTGTAACCATTCTTATTTTTATTGCTTATTTCAGATTGATGTTTGGAGCTATGGTTGCGTACTTGTGGAAATGGTATTAGGTGACCCACCAGATCTTTCCAAACTGCCTAATTTGGTTGAACGAACCTATACAGAATTTTCCAATCTCAAAACGCTTATCATTGGTTGCACACAGATCCTGTTAGCTGAGCGGTTTGATATGTCAAAAGTGGTGAACATTGTGGACAGTTTTTTTCAGATGTCCGGTATTGAAGAGTAAGTAAATTTTGAAATTTAAAACTCCAGCTATCTAACAATAATCATTAACCGCCGATCCTGACTCGTCCCCAGTCGTCTCTTTTGTCTCCTAATTGTAAAAATGTTAACGAGGGATGCGCGTGGAAGATGCGTGCAGACGTCGTTTCCTCCTTTTCCCTCTATCCTTATCATCATCCCCTTAGCCAAGATGCCGTAAAAGTCTCCCGCGGCCGACCGTTCCGTGACCGCCTATAAATTATAAGAGACGACTGGTGACGAGTCATCTGCAGATTAGCCTGCGAACCGCAGAAGTATTTCCGGTCATCACTTCTCTCCCCCCGAAAATTAACGTCTGCGAACCCGAGCGGCAAAATGATTTCCGTGACGTAGAACCTTTTGTTTTGATGTTGGCCAGTCAGATCAAAGGACAGAATACAGCTCGAGTGACTCCTCGCAACCTCTCGCGCTGGCGTGTCTTAGATTTTGGCGAGAGTTACCAAATACGATTTGGAACGTGAATTTCACGACTTTTGACAAGGTTTCCTGCGACGTTGCATTGAATGCTGAATTTTTTATGAAGCAACAGCTTCTTAAGCTATGTATGTGATGTGGACCTTTGGTTTCACCTTATAAAATACAGTGGTACGTGACATAAAACCTGGGCAAAATAATTTTCGGAGGGGTAGAAGCGACGACCGGAAATACGTCTGCGGTTCGCAGGCTAGCTGCAGATCTAACGCACTTACAATTTTTGTTATTATAATCTTCATTGAGAAATGGTGTTAGCACTACCTCGAGATTAACACCACGGGTTTTCCAGGAGGCTTTCTCACAAATAGCCTCCCACGCAGACATTCTTAGGACTTCTTCACAACGTCTGCGTCACCAGGGAGGCCATCTCGCGAACGGAGTCGGAAGGATTAGCCAGTTCACAGACCCTCCATTTTCTCTTTAGAGATCGTCAAGCGCGTGTACGAAAATAAAGAAAGAAGGGAAAACGTCTGTGAACAGGCTAGAACGATACAAACCTATTAGACTGGCACTTAACAAATATAGCAAAGACAAATGGTCTTGACAGAGCTGTTCTCTCTGTGTTTTTCAAGTTTAAGATTCCTCGGTTAAATTCATTTCAGATCATGGCAATTTTCGAATTTGTGAAGAGACAAAGTGACATATTCATTAGTTTGCTAACTAGCTATGGCAAATTACAACAACAACAACAACAACAAGTAGTTGTTGTTGTAATTAACAAAAAACAACAAATCAGTACACTTCTCTATGAAGATATACTTTCGGTGATCGGTGGCTTCAAATTTCTTATGGGGAATAGATCTCCTGTTTAGTTAGTGTCGGAGTCAGAAAGAAAAAAATGGTGACATTCTATTGGTTGGCTAAAACATTAAAGTCAATTCAAGCAACTAAAATATCTACTAACAGTTGGGTGAGAGCTGAAATGTTTTTGGTCGACCGTGATGTAAAATTGAGACTGTTTTGGGCTCCAACTGTCCAAGACGTAGCGCAGTGGTGCAGTGAAAAGTGATGAGAAAAACTCACGGTGGATGGGGAGAGAGAGAAGCCATTCGTCCGCCTCCGCCTCCTTCCCCAGATCGCCCGCATCTTACTTTCACTTTGCTTGTTTTATTTTTGCTAGGACTTTACTATTTGAGAGCCTGGCACAGGTTATGTAAAGTTTAACAAAGCGACAACAATATTCCATGGTCTGTACTTTTATCAACCATAGAAATGACGGCAAAATGTGCAAAACTTAAGTGGAACCACGAGCCGCGGGCGAGTCATTGGTTTCACTGCAAAGTTTTGAACATTTTGACGTCATTTCTATGGCCGTTAAAGACTACAGACCATGAAAATTGTTGTCGATTTGTTTTTTTTTTTTTCACAATAACATTGACAGTATGGATGTCCATTTCCATTGAAGTTTCTCGGAAAATCGCGCGCGAGGGAAAGAGGAAGACATATTGCGCCATCATCACGTCATCATTTCCATGGCCTGTACTCTTATCGAACATAGCTCTCAACCAATCAGCGCATGGGAAACCGCTGAGTTATTGTAATTGTACAAGTGAAGTTAAATACCAATCACTCTATAAAAAAGGGTTTGCTGGTGACCAGGACTCATATGTCAATGATCACAGCAGGAAGAACATGTATACGATTAAGACATCTTGTCTTTTATTTGTTTAATGAAAATTTATCTTTGCATTCCTAGTTTGTGACAACAGAAGAGCCCGGCATTGCCATACAGTTACTGTAGCTGTTTTATTGTAATATAATTCCAAACACCAGGCGAATGTAAAAAGAAGATTGAAGTCTCAAGTTCTTGGAATCAAGTGGAAGTCGCTCTCAGGGGAGCGTTTGATACTCGAAGATTTCATTGCTGGCATGATTCCTGATAATAATGCCTAAAAGTATTGTGGACTGGTGAACCATGGCAATACACTCCATTGTAAGTCACATGACAAACTGTATACAGAGAGACCTCCTTAAAAAAACAACCGGCAACCAAGATACTTTGCGTCCCTTTGTTGCAGCAACCAATGGTTTGGAAGTGCAGGAGAACATGTGCGTTTGCCTTAGAGACGTGATTGATGTTGAACCGCGTTCTTAAAAACTGATGAATCCAGAACACTAAGGTACCAGATTTGTTTTGCCATTTGTTGTGAATCCAAAATAAAAATGCCCCGATGTGGCTTCTTACACCGAGATTTTAAACTCTGAATCGAAAGTGGTTTTAAAAAATGTACTTAGATTTCCTGGCGTGTGTAAAGCGCATGTGTAAAACGTTGCTTGTAAGTTTAAGTCCAGTTTAAGGATGCTACGCCACCACAGGCAAAAAAAGAAATATTTCATCATGTACAAGAGACTTATAAAGTCCATACATGTATGTGTTTTTGAATGAAAGAGGAAGACTTTATTCCTACATATGTTCCATGTTAGACAACACAACGTAAGGTATCTGCATTGTATACCGGTAGTTTTTTTTTTAGTTTTATAGGAGGACTTGTGAATAAAAGGAAATTATTTTACTGTAATTTTCGGCGTCTTCTGCTATCTGGAATCCCTTCCTAAGCACTTCCTTCTTTAGCAGGGTGTCATGGGAAGTGAAAGCTATTTTTCCTTCATCCCTTCCCATGACACCTGGCGCGTCTCAACCTCGTATAGCGACTGTCAACAGAGCAAGCCAAGTAAAAGATCGAGGGTACATGAAAATCTTTACCCGAGGGAACATAAGACTGAATTGGCGTCATGACGGTAAAAACGTCAGTGGAATAGGAAATACCAAAAGGCATGAAAAGGTAATTATACATCAGTGTTTATTCAGCTGCTCATTTTTACAAATTTTGCAATAAAAAAACCAATAGTATCTCGGTTATGTGCGGATATTTCTCCCTCGAGTTTGCTGGGATCAAATCGCTGCACTAACAACCTTTCATCATCTGAAAGACCACAATTAGCAAGACCTGGTCCTCCGATATGAGGGGTCTGTGGAGAAAAACATGATCAAATAAGCAATGGGCATTTACATACACCTGGCGTTTACGAGGCAGGATGGAGATCAGAGAAAATGTTGAAGTTTCAGTTGTTTATTCACACCAAGTAAGATACACACAATATAATACTGACATTGATCAAACAGCAACATAGGAATAAAACAACAAATAAGGGCCTGTTTTGGGGAACCCTAAGTAGGTGAGGTAACCCGCTCAGGTGGGGTAACCCGCCTGTCCATATGATCTCTCATTTTAATTTGATAACGTTTACATGATAGGTGGGATGACCCGCCACATATTACCTAGCCTATCTGGAGTCCCCCTCCCCCATGTAAACAGGCCCTAAGAGAAGAAAAGATAAAGTGACTGGTTTTGAGAGAAGTGCACAGTGGTCAGAGGAGCATGGTTTTTGAGCTAACCACTTAAAAAGAAAAAGAAAAGAGAGAATCAAAGAAAAAGAAACGTTTTCGTGAATAAAAGGACATCACCACTGAAGATTGCGGAAGGTGAAGTCGTCATTCACTTTAGAGTACAGACCACCATGCACTTTCTTGTATCTTTAATACCAGGAGTATTAAGTGACTGCTGACCTGTTTTTCTAGTCGCAAACAGGGAAAAGACTTTAAAGCCCAGGCTACTTGTTGTTCATTTTCCTGTGGTGTTATGGTACAAGTGGAGTAGACGAGCACACCGCCTTTCTTTAACAAACTTACAGCCTGCAAAGACAAAGTGAAGTGATTAGGATTCAGTGGATCAAAAAACTGAAATAGCAAACTCCCATTCCCCAGAATAATCAAGGTTGAAGCCGCGCAAAGGCTAAAATGCGCAATTATTATTTTCCCATCCTTGATTTTTTTTTTTAGGGGGGAGGTGGGGGGCAATAAAGAAATAGCAAGCAGCCATCCCCTCAAAATCAAGGATGAAGCCGCAAAAAGGCAAAAACACACCATTTTCCCATGAAGAGAGGTGGGTCTAAATTCTCCGTCAATTTTGTCCAAGATTGTAGCCTACGGGAGAAGCGCCAAGACACGCTAGGGCAAGGGGTGAAAAGTACCAAAAATTGAAGCTTCCATTGCTTTGCTCCCCCTCATGCGTCAACCGTGCTTCTCGCTCTTGGCTGGGGAGGAACAGAAACGGCTGTTACACAGGCTGAGAGGATAAACACTTTACGGAATTTTTATCAACAAAATTTTCAATTAAAACTACCTCGTAGTTACAGAAACATTTTCCACAACCGTCTACATAGAACAACAGCTTGACTTGTTCTCTTCACTTACAGTAGTGAAAAGCTTTCTTTGCAATCTGGGGTAGGACTGTAACTCCTTCAAATTCATCCTGATGACAAACTGTGGCCGCTGACCCAATGCACTGCAGGGAGCATCCAGGAGAATACGGTCAAATGTCCCACAGGGGTAGGGTGGGGAGGCTGGGAGCTGCACTGGGAAATAAGTAACAAATGATACGTGATACATCGTTTTTAAAAATCGGAAACAGATGACTGAAAATGCAACAGAATTTGAAAGTTGAATGTTCGAAAATATATAGCCAAGAAAGAGTGTCTAGAAAGGGTTTAAACAAGAACCTGTCCAACCGAAGAAAAAATATTTAATCTGAGAAATATCAATTAAAAATGATTGACTGAATTACATGGTCATACCAAATCGTTTTGACAACAGGCAAACTTATTGCTTTGCTTCAGTTTAGTGTTGACATGGTATACACATTCTACCACTCACGGTCTATGAAATAATCTTCACAAGAATCAAGAAAGGTTTAAGCTGTGTCCTTTTTTATCTCCACTCACTGTTTTCTGCATCCCATAGCTTGTCAGGATCAACAGCCTTGATGCCATCATATACATAGCTCTTCACACAATGGATTCCAAGCCTGTCACAGTTTGCCTTCAATTTTTCTATCTTTGGTTCACTCTTGTCAAAAGCAACTACAACACCCTGAAAATAATTCCAAAAATATTAACCGTAATAATAGCAGTCTTTTAAATGTAAGTAAATAAGATGGAGTTCAAATTGCTACTCACTTGGTCTTCCATGAGTGAGGCAAGGTGAGTTGCTTTTCCGCCTGTTAACATGGAAGAAAAAAAATAAGAATTAAAGGCTGGTTGCGATATGATAACTACAATCACTGACAACAGTTAACCAACGTTAACCAACATTTGTCTAATATTAGGAAGACCTTGGATAACAATGACTTCAACCAGGTTGTGGCGTCCAGTGGTTTTAGTGAAAATAAGGGTTTGGGTGGGATGCTCAGCCTCCCTGGTTCTAAAACCTGGTCTCGGTCATTCTTATTGAAGGATTTTGGTCTACTTATAGCACAATACATGCCAGGGGGTGTGGCAAATTTGTTAGACAATCACAATTCTCAAATCCTTGATAAAAACCAGGATGACCTCGATTTCAGTTACAACTTACAAAGAACAATAGCCTACAAACAAGCTCTCCATCACGTCTACTTTTGTGTGCTGCCCTCGTGTGACTTCTTGTGACTTCCCCAAATGGAGAGCTTGCTCGCAGGCTAAAAGAACAACAACATTTTTAAACCAATTCACTTTGCATTATCCTGCGTGCAAACATCTCCTATTTCTTTTGCTGCACTAGTAAATAGAAGTGATTTTGTTACAAAAAGTGATGATGAGTCCCTGTCCATAACCAATGAGTCCCAGTTTTAAAACCCTTTAAGTCCCAATAGTGGCCAAGGTAAATTTTCTCCTAACAATATCCATACATTGTCAACAGATAAGTTACGAGAATTAAAAAAATGATCACCCGAGTAAAAATGCCTTTTTTTTCAAATTCTCTCAACTCATTCTTTAAGGAAATATATGGAGATCAGTTTGGAGAATTAGTATGTGGATACTGGGGCTTAAAAAGTGAGGAAAAAAAAGGCCTTTATGTCACCAAACAGTTAATCTAAAAAACAACAGCCATAATGACTGCCACAGAAATAAGACGAACAGGATATTCTACAAAAATATCTTCAGATCTATTGATCGATCTTTGCGTTCTACGAGATGTATGCCATGAATTATTTTGCATCTTTGGGGATTTTTTATGCATCAGGGATGCAGGACACAGAGGTAACAAAATCACTGAAATAGGAGACGTCTGCGCACAAGCTATTTTGTATTATCATATGCCATTTTTACAAGCTCTGAATCTTCTTGGGTGCGCTTCAAATCATCTTCGCAAACTTTCTTGCAATGCCAGATAGAAGGTACACTAGACAAACCTGGTGCAGCACACATGTCTAAAATCATTTCACCAGGACAAGGACCCAACACATGTCCAACAACAACAGAAGGTAAGTTCTGAAGGAACAGCAAATGTGGGACAACACCACTGAGAGAGGGGCAGCTGTACAGAGGAAATCTCATTTGAACTGCAACACCACTGCAAACAAAAAAAATATGACAGCAGTGGGCACCTGCAATATTCATTACTGTTATATGTGCAGACATATCTAAAAAATGAAATCAAAAGCAAGTCTGGAAGGGTACTCCCCATTATATAATGGTCCATGGCAGGGTGAAGGTTATAATAGGGGCTCTGCCCAAAATGGGTACCTACTTTGAACCATTAATGTATGGAAACTGGCTGAACAGACAGACTTTACGCTCCTGTAATATTGTTTATTAACTTCATTCCAAAGGTTAAGAAACGGGATGCAGTGTTCATAAGAATATATGTAAAAAGGCAACTATTTCTTCAACGAAATGTATATGAAAAGGATACAAATGCACCCTTTCTGTCAAAAACGGTATAATAAAGGGGGAGGGGTTGGAGATCCTTTGTTGAGTACCCCCTCCCCCAGGAAGCAAGTGTCATATTTACACACCTGATGTTTTGCTCAGAGCAAAAAATTTCCTTTCTTGCAAGCGCAGCAATTCCATTTCCCAGAAAAACCTTCTGTCCATCAAAGGGTTTGATCAGACCTTTACGGCACTTGTTCTCAAGGTCGCAATAGACTGACACAACATCTCCTCTGTCAATACCTGAGATTAAAAGATAAATGGTTTCTTGCTTTACTTTGAAAACGAATCCCACACTCAATTTAAATAATTGTGACAAGGTCTTGATGCATTTGTTGTCACCTAAAAGATAAGCATAAGGAAAATGTTTGTTCAACAAACCAAAAGATTGTGTGACACACATAAGGACTTTGTGCACAGAGTGACAAGCACAAGGGTTGTGTGACAAGCTCACAGATTGTGTGACAATCACAAATTGTGTAAATGAGCTGTTTATATATATGCCCAAGACTGTGTGATGAGTCAAAGATTAAAAAGCAAAACTTCCCTTTCATTAATTCCTGAGAGACTCAGCAGTAACAAA